TGCTCAATAAATGATAGCTATACTTGCAGTATGATATACTCTTTTTCGTTTTCATTCATTGACATTTATGGAACACCTATCATATACCAGACTATGTCCTTAGCTATACTAATAAATGAAACAGACACAATCCTTGCCATTGTGGACTTTACAGTCTAGCAGTAGAGAGAGACGTTAAACAATCACAGAGATAAACATGAAGAATTAAATTATAATAAGTGATAAGAAAGAATAAAAGATAAAGGAGAGATTTTAGCATGAAGCCATCATTTAGACAGAGAATCAAGGGAAGTCTTCTCTGAAGAAGTGACATCAGAGCGTTCTGGAAGATGCCTTCATATTTCTACGGTAACGAGACTTATCCAGCTAGACTCCTTTCACCTTCTAAGTCTCAGTTTAAATGACATTGCTATAGCTGGGAATTCAGTATCTATTCAATCAAAAATACATATGTTTAAAGTTGCCATGTGAATATAAATATGTACTGAAAATTTCAGGGTTTTATGCCTTTTTGAAGCTTTTTACACACGTGATTAATAGTAACAATAATCTCAGCGTTAGATACCAACATTTAGAAAAAATATCCTGGATTTCAGCTTCCTCTCATTATATTCCTCAAAGCGTACAGATTTTTTTAAAAAGAGAAAAAGGCAGCAATGGAAATTTAGAAAAGTACATCCGGAAAATAGTAATTAAGATTTTAAAAAAATGAATGTAGCAAATAAGGCCTTCCTCCATAAATTACCAATTATGATCCTTGGGCCCTTAGTTATATAATCCTGACTAGAATTACTTTTGCTTTTGCAGCCAAATCCCTAGAGTCTTGTGTTCCTAGCTGGCACAGACAGAGCAAAGTTATTGCAGGCGAACCTCCTAAATCCTGAATACAGCATTTTCCTACGTACTACCATCACAGGTCTGTAACGTAATGGGAAAAAAAGAAAAAGGAAGCAGTTTGAATACTGGGTTCATTAAAAAGCAAAAGATAAAGTCAATGCTGCATCTTGAACTTAATCAGATATAATGGCATTTTCCTTGAGCTATAAAAAATAAATCTCTCCAGATTTAGGTAATAGCACGAGCAGAAAGGGAAAAATGAAGGCATTTATTTGGAAACTTTTGATCACCCCTTACCACAATAACTAACCACACTGATAAGGAACCTACAACAAAGGGAAGTGTCTGAAATCTACTTAATAAAATCTTGTACTTGGAACATTAGATCCTATATCAAAAGAGCAAGACCATGATTCTGCTTCCCAAGAGGCTCATGCCAACTTGAGAATGTGGCTTCACACTGCTGCTCTTCCTTTTTCCCGTGCTGACACAAGGCAGTGCGTGATTACGGGAGAGGTGAGTGGAAGTAACAGAAAATACGAAAATGTGGTGTTAGGATTGGGCAAAAGACTTAAAATTACATAAAAAGCAGCAACATTTGGCCCTGGTAGTTACCCTCTGCCTCCCACCAAAAACAAAAATAAAAACAAGCAAAACACTTCCAGATAAGTAAAAATGACCTGCATTTGGCCTCATAATTTATATGCAGAGGCTTGGAACGATAATCCAGATGAACTCAAAGTTTACAGCACGGAGTTAAAGCACTTCTATCTCTTTGTGGAGGCATTAACATTCTGTCTCTACTTGTGTATATGCTGAGGCTGAAATAGACTCTAGGAGAACACCCCACATAAATTCCAGATTCTAGAAGTCCTCAGATTCCACCAGTTCCTTGAATTTCCCAGTCATTATTGGCCTCTTAAGAAGCACAATTCAAAATTCCTTAGCTTCAAGAAAAGAGATGTCTCTTGCTGCCACAATCACAGATCAGGCTTCAAAATCCCCCCAGAGGAGAAGTAAAGGTGTGTAAGTGTGTGTGTGTGTGGGGGGGGGGTGTATGTGTACACCCAAATCTCTCCTTGAACTTCAGTTTAGAAAGCAAAACTGCTAAGTTTCCATGAAAAAATAGGCAAGTTCTTTTTATGTGACACTTGCATACACACATACACAAATGTTCAGCTTTCAACTTTGTCATTCCGGGCAAAGAAAAAGAGACTTGAGAGCCAACAATGATGATGAGACGCAACTACCATCACTACTGCCCATCTTTGACCTGTTACACAAAAGAATCATCATCATCATCATTCATTGTCAGAACAGAAAATAATTGGCATGTCTTGAAGCTCATACCACAAAGTCAGAGATGCTTTCGTTGAGACTTGTAATTGACATAGGTGAAATAATATACAATAGTTTCATGCTACAGCAAGGAATTAGTGAGGTTTAATTGGCATTTAACGAGTACTGCCAATCACAGAAGAGAATATATTCTGTACAGTAAAACATACCGCTTCTTGTATTCTGTCATCACTAATGTCTTTCGACTGGCATCCTGCATTTTTGCCTGTCCCATTTGTGCTCTCCAAGAACCCTTGAACCAACCAGGAGCTAGCAAGTTTCTCCATGGCTGGCCTCTGACTTTCTACCTGCAGCTGAAAGAGCTGCAAAGACCCCAGTACCACAGTGCCAGTGGGTCTCAGAAAGCCACTAGACCCCTGACTGCTCTCAGGAGTCAGTTAGATGATTGTGGAAATAAGATTTAAAAGCTTAATTTCTTGATCTGTATATCTTTTAAAGCTGCAAATAGAAAAAGGCCTAGAATTTTATTTATTCATGTAGTCAACAAATATTTGTCATGCATTTACTTGGACTAGGTCTTAGAGACCTAATCTCCGTTCACTCTTCTTCATAAGCATTCATCTAGAGCCAATTATTTGGTATTAAAATCATTCCATTCAAACATTGCTAGTGGTTCAGTCTCCCACTTGTTCTGTCTTTTTTTGTTTTGTTTTGTTTTGTTTTGTTTTGGAGGACGATTAGCCCTCAGCTAACGACTGCCAGCCCTCCTCTTTTTGCTGAGGAAGCCTGGCTCTGAGCTAACATCCGTGCCCATCTTCCTCTAGTTTATACGTGGGACGCCTACCACAGCATGGCTGCCAAGCGGTGCCATGTCCGCACCCGGGATCCGAACCAGCGAACCCCGGGCCGCCGAGAAGCGGAACGTGCGAACTTAACCGCTGCGCCACCGGGCCGGGCCGGCCCCCCACTTCTTCTGTCTTTACACTGTATTTCATGAGTCTTCTGCATGGATGTCTTCCGACTCCTCTTTCTCTACCTAACAAAGTGTGTCATTCTTAAAATCTCAGATTCAATGCCACGTCCTTGAAGTCTTTTCAGATCACTTCAATGATAAATGATCTTTCTTTGATCAGACATCCTATTGCCTTTATTATTTATACCACTCATAATGGACACTATATAAACCCGTCCCTTTGATTGCGGGCTGGACTTAGGGCCTTACCAGTAATGAATAAAATACAGAAAAGTGATAGGATGTCACTTCTGAGATTAGGTTATAAAAGGCTGTGACTTCCATCTTGCTTGCATTCTCTTTCTTTCCCCTTACTGCTCTCTATCACTTATTCTGATGGAAACCAGCTGCCATATTGTTAGCTGTCCTATGGAGATATCTACCTAGTAAGAGACTGAAGGCAGCCTCAAGCCATAACCAGAGAGGAATCGAATCCTGCCAACAGCCTTGTGAGTCAGCTTGGAAGTGAGCAAACCTCATGTGTTAAGATAACTACAGCCCCAATTATCATCTTCATTGCAACCATGCAAGAGACTCTGAACTAGAGAAACTAACTTATTCATTATTGGATTTCCAGCCCACAGAAATTGGGAGATAAATGATATTTTAAGCCACTAAATTTGGGAACTTTGTTAAACAGCAATAGATACCTAATACAATCCTGCAATTGTAGCTCTGTATCATATAGTCATTCAACCATCACATATTAGTAGGTATCTACTCTTCTTTCTGCCAGCTGCTATTTTAGGCAAGATTAATCAGAGAAGAGAAGAGGATGGAGAGGCAGAATAATGTTACTGTTAAGAAACAGGGTCCAAAAAAAGTGTATCACAGAGTCTATGTTTTTATATTACTTATATTATTTACGCAACATTGTTTTTGAAATTCATCCATGGCATAGCTTGTAGTCATAGTTTGTTCATTTAAGTTACTGCATAGTAAGTAGCTCATTAATAAATATACCACAATTAATTATTACATTCTATTTCTGGTGTATACTTTGGTCGGTTCTGGATTTTTTTCTATTATGTATTTAGTTTTCTAATAATTTGTTTATTGTATTTGTTCATATATTGTTGAAGTAGAAAGGAGTGTAGATTTTATTTCCTGTACCATCCTTATCTGATTGTCCTCAGTTCCTAACAACACTTTCCAACTAATTTGAAATACTTGAATGCGTTACAATTTTTCCTGCTGTCCGAGAGAAACTGTGTAGGATTTGAGTTTTGTGTTCATTGAATGTTGGTTGAACTCATTTGGCCTGATTTTTTCTTTGTGGGAAAATTTTCAAGTACTAATTTAACTGCTGTAATGATTATAGGATGATCTACATTTTCTACTTCTTCTTGAATCAGTTATGGTAAATTGTATCTTTTAGAATTTAGTCTATTTTGTTTAAGTTTTCAAACTTATTGACATACAATTGTTCAAGATACATTTTTATTTTTAATTCTTGCCATATCTGTAGTTATATCATGTTTTAATACTTATTTTATTAATCTTTCCAGAGCTTAATTAATTTTATTGGTTTTGTCAACATAAAAATTATTGCATCAATTGATCCTATTTTATTTTGCTTTCTTTTTTCGATTTTTCTATCTTTAACATTTTCTTCCTCTTAGTTTCTTTACACTTATTCTGCAGTTTCTTTTTTTGTTGAATCCTCAGTACATCTGCCATTAATTTATTGGTTCTCCATTCAGAATCACCCTTCTTTTGCCCTATTTTGTGATGCTGGAGCTGGGCTCCACCAATCAAATTTCTCCTTTTCCTGCTGCCTCTACGTCAGACTCTGATGTTAAGAGGCAGCGGAAGGAGACTGCTAGGCTGCAGGCAGGAGAAGGGACTCGCTTCTTTGTGTTTTCACAGTGGCAGGCGGTCCCTGCAGAATTCCCGGCCACGGCAGTCAGGTCCACATGCAGCTAAGCCCTTCAGAAATGTTGTTCTTCACCGTGGGGGCGTGCTGCTCTCCTGGTCCTGGTGAGAGGTCTCCAGTAACACAATCATGGCAGTTTGTGCGTTGGTAAAAAGCCTGTGCCGCCTCTCAGAGGTCTAAGTCTTATCATTATAGAGCCTCTCTTCTAAGTTTCTTCCTTCTTCGCTTTTCTGTCAGCTCTGAGGGGAGCCGTTGCTGTCTGTGGTCTCTCCCTGTCATGTTTTAGAGCGCTCTTTTGCCCTTCCAATAGCTCACCGCCTTTTCTTAGTTAACAATTCTTTATATTAAATGTTCCCTCTTCAAATTTCTGTCTCTCAACTGGACCCTGATTCATTTAATTCATTAATTATCACCCTTTCCTCCTTTCTAAAAATGTGAAAATTTAAGGCAATAAAATTGCCTCCGTGTGTATGCACCCATAAGTTGTACCACATGAGTTTGATCTATGGTATTTTATTTATGGATAAGTTATAAATATTTTTCAATTTTCATCTTGATTTTCTCTTTGTTGCAGATATGGAATAACCCTCCAAGCCATTTTCTTCTAAATGTGTCATTTATTGTTTTTCTAATTATGTTGGTATGCATTCACAAAACATGATCTGAATGATGCTAATCATATAAAGTGTAGTGATGCTTGCTGGTAGGTCTGTTTGTACAGATTGTTTTATGTCCAATTATAGGGTTATTTCAGTTATCTCCTGTTGAATAATAAACTGTCCCCAAATTTGGTGGCCAAAATAATTTATTTTTATCTCTCACAATTTTATATGTTGATTTAGAGCATAGATGGGAGTCTCACATGCAATGTCGGCGAGATGGGGGCTGGTAGTGGAGATTTCTTTAGGCTTGAGAGAGGCAGCCATCCAAGAAAGCATCTTAAACCATATTTCTGGTACCTGAGGGGAGAACTTAAATATCTGGGGGCTAATTTGGCATCTCTCTTTCTCCTAGTGCCCATTTCACATGACTAACTTGAGATTCCTCACAGCATGATGGTCCCCAGGGAACTGGACTTCTGATACAGGGGCTGATTTACCCTGGAACATGCATTCCTATTGACCAAGGTGGAAGCTGCAAGGCTTCTTATAGTCTAACCATGGAAGTCATCCCACCTTATTGGTTACACAGGGTGTTCCCATATTCAGTGTATGTGGGTATACATGGTGTGAGCGTGAACAGGTGTAGTTGATTGCAGGGTCACCTTTGGAAATTATGAGGATGTTCTCACCTGGCCATTGGGTTAAATGTGCTCTTCCAATCTTCCCTACCTTACTGTTTTATTTTTGTTCATCTTGATTTCCTCTTTGCTCCACATGTTGTTTAGAATTCTTTTCTAAATGTATTTTTTTGTTATTGTTTTCTAACTATAGTGATCTATGCTCATAATGGTTGGGTGATACCAATTTTTCTAAAGTGTGGTGTTACTTGTCTGTTTGATTTACCAATATCCTAGAGAGTTGCTTTAAAACCTCTTGCTAGGGAGCTGGGTTTGTTCATTCTACTTAAAGTTTGTCAATATTTGCTTTCTACTTTTTGAAAGTATGTTATATATATATTATTTAGAATTTTTTAAATCTCTCTAATAAATTGAATTTTTATCATTATGCTTATCTCACATTATATTATTTGCCTTTAATGATATTTTTTCCCTTAAAGCTGTTTTACCAGATACTCATATAAATATACTAGCCTAATTTGGGTTATTATTTTCTTGTTATATTTTTCCATACTTTTACTTTCAACTTTTCTGCGTCCTTAATTTTTAAGTCTGTCTCCTAAAAGTACGTATAGCTCTATTTGCTGGTTTTGTTCAATCCATTCCAACATTTTTTAATTTTAACTGGAGAGATTAGTTAATTTACATTAATTGTATTACACTAATATTTAGGTTTCTTTTTACCTTTTTTTATACCTTCAATTTGGCCTATATTCAGGATTTTTAAATCTTCTTTTTACTTCTTTTTTGCTTTCTCTTGCACTAATTGAGTAGTAATTTGGGTTTTTAAGTAGCTTTATTGAGATATAATTGATGTATAAAGAACTGCACATATTCAACGTGTACAGTTTGATGAGTTTGGACATATGCAAACACCCATGATACCGTCTCCACAATCAAGGTAATAGACAGATCCACACCTCCCAGTTTTCAGCTTGCTTATTTTTTGTTTATGGAAAGAACACTTAGCACGCGATCCACCCTCTCAACAAATTTTGAAGTGCACCATACCATATTGTTAACTATAGGCAATATTTTGTACAATAGATCGCTGGAACTCTAGCATAACTGAAGAATAGTAATTTGGATATTATCCTTTCTGACTATTTCAACATGTTCACTTAATTAAATGAGGCCAAAAATGAATCAGTGCCTTTGCAGTCATTGTAAACAATATAAAAACTTTAACATGCTTTAGTTCTGACAACCACTACTCTCAATTTGCATGTTTCTTCCCATACTTAAGTTCTAGCTTGTTTTATTTATAATCCTTAAACATTTATGCAATGATTGTTTAGATTTCTTACATGATAACAATAGCATAGCTCCCATTCTTTCTTATATATCAGACTTTTTGAGATCAGTTTTCTTCCACCTGAAATACATCCTTTAGATATTCTTTTCATGCAGTAAATTCTTATAATTATTTAAAAATATGAATGCCTTTATTTTGTCCTTGTCTTTGAAAGTCATTTTTTGTCTCAGCATATTGAAGATACCATTCCATTGTCTTCTGACTTCCAATGCGTGCTGTTGATAATTCAGCTGTCAGGCTAATTGCCATTCCTTTCTGGGTGATCTCTCCTTCTTCACTGGCTTCTTTCAAACCATTCTCTTTGTCCTTGTGGTCTACAACTTCATAAATATAAATACAAAATAGATAGATAGATAAATAGATAGATAGATATAGACATGTATATATACATAAATATACGAATACATATACACACATATATATATGAATTTCTTTTTATTTATTTTGTTTGGGTTTCATCATGGGTTTTGTGGACTTAGAGTTTGATGTCTTTCAACCATTCTGAAAAATTCTGTCATTATCATCGGAATATTAACTCTTCCCAGTTTTCTCTCGTCTCACCTTTTGGACCCTGATCACTTCTTACTCTATTCTCCATGCCTCCTGATCCCCTCTTTTCAAAAATATTTTTCATCTCTTTGTCTCTCTGAAATGTATTCTGTGTTTCATCAGATCTTTTCTTCAGATCACTACTTGTATTTTCAACAGAATCTAATCGGTTCTTTTCGTCTTTCAGTTATTTTCTTTACTTCAAGTATTATATTTTTCATCTCTTAAGCTCTGTTTGGTTCTATTTCACATACACTTGGTGGCTTCATAGTCTCTTTTTCCTTATTCACGATGTCAATCCTTGCTGTTGTATTTTGAAACACATTAAACAAACTCGTTTTTATTCTCTATTTGGTAATTTCACTAAATAAGCCTTTTGGGTAGGGTTCTACTCTCTGTGCTTTCTTTGTCTCTAACTCACCGTGCTGTGTTTGCTTACATAACGTATGATTTTTGACTGTGAGGTCATATTCTTTGGGAAAGCCTCTGAAGGAATTCTTTGAAACCTAGGCTAACGTTAGATTTCTCCAGAGGATACTGCATTTGATTCTGCTAGTTAGCTCAAGTTATTACCTACTTGAAATTTTCTGCTTGAGATGACTTAAGTTATACAAGATAACTGGAAGTGGGGCTCTAAACCTAAGTGAGGGACGTTGGTTGTCTATTAATTCTCAAGGGAAATTTCTTTTTCCCCTCCAGCCAGTGCCAAGGTCAAATGAGACAGGGTTCCACATTGCCTTCTAGGTAATGAGTTTATTTATCACTCACCTTTACTTTGAAGGAGTAGCCCTCTGGATCTCCAGATTGATACTGGGGTTTCCTGATGTTCTCACTTTATGCTGGCCCTAGTCTTATTTCAATTCTCTTATGCCCTGCATAGCTGTTAAAACAAAATCCTAAACTCAGCAATGTTCATCGCAAGGTGAATTCATTTCCCTCAGAAATCTTGCATTCTCTAAATCTGTGGGGGCAAAGGGGTGGCAGAGTAAGAGGGAGGATCCCATGTCCATCTCTTGCATTACACTTTTACATTAGACTTCACTTGGAAATAAATTTAACAACTGCTCCAGCCATTAAGAGGCACCTAAGGTAGTATATATTGCCTTATTTTTATTTTTTTTAGTTTTTTTTTGGTGAAGAAGATTGTCCCTGAGCTAACATCTGTGCCAATCTCCCTCTATTTTGTATGTGGGATGCCACCACAGCATGGCTCGATGAGCAGTGTGTAGGTCTGTGCCTGGGATCCAGCCCCGTGGAACCTGGGCCACTGAAGTGGAGCACGTGAACTCAACTATTACACACCTGGCCAGCCCCTATGCTGCCTTATTGAACTGGGCTGGGCTGAATAACTACTTTTCTAGTATGTTTTGTGTGGGCTTCCTACAATACACAATTTGTGAAAATGACCCTCAGGCCTGTTTTGATAATCAATCTTGGAGCCCCCTCTGAATCCTCAATTTGTTGAAATGTCAATTTGCTAATGTTTTTTCTAAACCAATAACCTGAAGTGTGGAAATGCGTGAAATGTAGACATGAAACATATTAACATTTTCAAAGTTGCACAGTCTTTGAAATGGTACAAAAGCAGTTTCGTCTTGTTAGGTGAAGGCAAGTTTGGTTTGTACCCTGAGGAAAGTATAGGAAGGGTGTCCTTTAAACACCCAGGATGGAGAATGTAGCATCAGTGTCACATTGAAATTTTTAAAAATCTCCAGGCTGATTTCACATTCCATAAAGGACAGAATCCTTTGCGAGGAGGAGGCAAAAGGAAGGAGAAATAGACCCGGTGCCTGCTGCCTGTCTCCCTAGCTGGGATCCAAGAGCTGCTTTTAAATTTATGAGATCAGAACATCAAAAGATAGCAGCTAAAAATATTCATGTAGAGTGGAAATTTTGACAAAAATTTAGAGGTTTATTTTTCCCCTCAAGAAATGAGTGCATGTGTTTTACAAGCTATTTCTCAGGACTTGGTTTACATAGAGACCCACTTATTAAAGAAGGAATCAATACAAAGGATTCTACAGAACATCA